GGGGGGGGGATTGACTAAGAGTAGCCAAAACGACGCACTGGAGACGCCATAGCTGTGTTCTCAGCATTTCTGCGCGGCCGTCGCACTGACGGTCAGATAATAAAAATGCGACGGTGTGATGACTCGCGTGATCTCATCAGAGCCTCTGGATTGGAGGAAGGAGGAGAGAAGGGGACAAACAGAGAGATAAATCAGATGCCTTTTTACTGTGCCGAGATGAACCCTGCATAACCATAGTCAAAGTGACCTCAGCGGCAAAACAGAGAGAGGGCTGCCTCTCTGGGGAGTCGTGGTAAAACAGGCGAAAAAAAAAAAAAATGGCTGGACAAGCACAAAACACTTAACAGTACAGTACTTTTATTTCGCCGCAGCTCCATGCCGACCCACTTAATCAGGCAGGAACGAGCAACGCTGACATCATGGGGGAAGCCCTTTGGCAGCAGGGGGTCGATGTCAGGGGACAACAAAGGCATGCATGCAGATCGGCGATGGTGTCCGCGCACGCCATGTGACCCCCGGGATCGTCCGGGGACACAGACCCCGCACAGAGCATGTTTTCAGACGTCGCTCGTGACTCCCCCCCCCCCCACCCACTCATGCTAGCCAGGCAGAGTTAACCAGCAAGGACGGCTTCTCAGCCCTTTCTCACATGGACATGCACTCTGAAGCGAACACACCACCAGAGGAGGACGGGCGCAATTTACACTAAAGCACCCTATCACTCGCAGAAAGGGCCGGGTTAGGATAAGACAGGAACAAACCTTTTGTGGGGGGGAAAAAAAAAAAGCCAAGGCAACCAACATCTGCCCGGTGAAACGCGGCATTCACACGAGACGCACTCGAGAAAATCCGCCGTGCTCCCGAACAACACGCTGTTGAGGTTTCACCGCTTGCAGGAAAATAATGATTTGAAATATAGGCCAGCCTGTCTTGGGTGGGAGGTGCTCTCTCGCGGGAGGTCAGTAGTATGCGGGCGCCTGCTGTCCTGGCAACGCGCATGGAGACGCGCTGCTTTCCTACATTTAATACCACCGCTCACCTGAGGCTGTGAGAAGAGCAGGTCAGAGCCAGCAGAATGTAGCACTGTTCTCACAGAGCCGAGGCAGAGCCCAAAACGACTGCATCCCACCACACCTTAAAGACCTCTTGGTGGCGGAGGGGGTGGGCGCTCCAAAAACACCCAGCTATACATTTGTAGATAGACTGGTGAGCCATATCACTTTAGGAAATAAACCCAAACAGATGTAAAAATTGATATTTTATAACTGAACAACAAGGGGACACCTGGATCACTCAAGAAAGTGACATGAATACCCAGTGTGCTGTTCCATCATGTGTACAACTTTGCTTTCACAAAAGGCACATTTACCAAGAAGTGCTTTGAGTGTAATTATACTCTCCATCTGTCATTCTGGACTCACGCTTTTGCTATTGTCTCCCAGACATCACATCTGGCTAACTGCTACAGTGACGGCAGCTGTCGCTTTTCACCGTGGCGTGGCTGGGGTACTGAGATACTGTAAATCAAGCCATCGTCCTGCTCTCTGGTGGATTTCTGCAACACTCCATGATGACATGTGCCATTTGTCATTTACAATAAACCACCAAATACCAAGCTGCCCTGTCCAGCACCTTTTGGGGCAGTTCCCAAATGTTGCCAAGAGATAATTTGTGGAACCATCAACTTGAAAAGAGCCACTGCCATTAATTTCAGAGGATCTCCAAACACTGCCTTCTGAAACAGAACCAAGCAAGGCTGAAACACGTCTCCTCAAGAGACAGCAACTATATGGCCTTGGACAGATCCTAGGAAAACAACAGATCTGTCTCAAAGCCAGACAAGCACTGATTTGCACATATCTTTCACTTCACAAACTGGAAGACCCACAAACGGGGGGGGGCATGCAGTGACCCTGGGTTCAAGCAGGAGCTGGACAGCAGTCAGAGGATTTCCTAGGCTCAAATGGAGAGATAGTGATTAACCCAGGATTAGATGAAGTCAAAAGGACAGAGAAAGACTCGGTCACAGAGTTCTCTGCATCTAAGAAGCATCTAGAATGTCTTAATGTCAGGATCTGTGGAAACTAAATGCTACTTAGAAAAACGCGAGGGCACAAGGTTCTAGAAAATCATTCCCAGCACTCCCACAGAATTCAGTAAGCAAGACAACCACTTCAGTGCCAAATACTGTACATTTATCAATGGCTGGGCTCACGGTGACCGAGAGGACTACAGCTCAGGGCAATTCAGCTAAGCTTCCATCCGAGTGTCACAATAACCCTACAAGGAGGTCCTTAAGTATCCTGAATGCACAGAAGATGCCACAACCTATGGAAAGAAATGTCTGTCCAAACAAAACAATCAATGCCTTGGTGGTGATGAAAAGAAGAGGAAGACCAGCAGTAATGGCTGTACACTGTCATCAGAGACCACGCTTCGGAATAACATGGTATGCTGCAGCTCTGATGACTGTCTCTGCAACACGGAAGAAGAGGGAATTGCGGCGGGAGGGGGGGTGATTCTGCGGAAGCAAATCAAAGGCAGAGTCGGGCATGGGGATCAAAGTTAGGAGCAGAAGAGACATTGTTGAGATGAGGGCGAAGGAGATCTCAGTCTGCAATAAAACATATTCATAATTACTGTTCTGGATTCCACACAGAGGAGCCATAAGAGTGAAAGGCCAGACCGACTCCCATTACACGTGTCGTTATGAGGATTTACGCCTTCTCAGAAATGCAGGCAGTCTCAGTAAAGAGGGGTAGGTAAGGATCCATCCGCTGGGAGCTGCCTGAATCCAAGCACCACGAAAGCGGGATGAGAGAAGAACAGAGGGATGGAGGCGACCGGAATGAGGAGTGAGCAGGCCGATACACATAATGGGAAATCAAGAGAGGCGATTACGAGAACATTACGGGAGCCAATAGCAAACAAGCAGCCACCGGAAACCAATTTATAACCGTACCTTTAGGGCTCTGCAAACTAATGACAATGAACGGGATGGTACAATGAAAAACACTCAAGCTTGGTAAATATGCTATATGTGTATAAGAGCGGTATAACAGCGGTACGGAAAGGAGGGGGGGGGGCGTGCAGTCAGGACGTGTACCTCACCTAGTTCCATGTCTGGGGTTGACCAGTGGTTGTGTGTAAAGCCAGCCAGCAACTGGCAGGGGTGCAGTGACTACGAGTTTCCCAGCCGGACATGGGCAGCCTGCCACAGACCCGTCAGCGGCTCAATCACAGCGACAAACGGTAAGGGAGGAACAACTGAGAGCATTTTCATCACTGATATGCAACCTCACTGCAGGTTTGCCAATGAGACAATACGGGGAAAAGAAAAACTGACACACTGAAAAAGAAATCTTACAGACCTCTTGGGCGAT